CCCATATATGTTTAAAAAGCATTGTGCAGTTCGTGTATTTAAAATTTGTAAAGGATGTTTTCAGTTCTGTGCCATGTGTGATACACGCTTTGGAGTAATGGATAGCGGCTCGGATTGAATCGCATCCATTACATTCACTTACGTGCTAATACCCTTGGGAAAGGTATGAATCCTCTTCTCCCTCCAGCTATGGGTAAATAGTAGGACAGACCAGATTTTATAGCCTTGGATGACAACTGGTCTGCCGCAGAAATAAATGGCAACCTACTGCGGGAAAAAAATATCTGCCTTGTCAGTTATGTATCGAAAGATACATTATCGCCTAAGCATGACACTTGTTTTACAGACGTAATTTCTATTCCCAGGGTTCTTAAGTTACACCTATGTACATTTTCTTCGTTGTCTGTTGATTTTACAGTAGCTTGGTATATTATATTGTTCTGTAAGCAATTTCCATTTAATGGACATTCGTTTGTTACTATGCAGTTACAGGTTGGTTTGCTTTGTGTGGGTGTTTTTTTTTTGTTATTCTTCTGTTGTAGTTTTTTTTTTAAATTTGTGTCATGTTTTCGGTACAGCTGTGTTTCTGCTGAATATCTCGTGAGGAATGCTTGATGGGGAAAAATATTTGTGTATGAGTATAATGAATAGTTTCCTTACGTTTGTTTTACGTTTTTGTTGTACGCGGTGTTCGCGACCTTGTTTAATATTGTGTTACTTTTTTTTTTAACTACGTGGTGTGTAAGTAATGGTTGCCGAAAATCCACTATCCTTTGGGGCTGTTTTCATAATCTATCTTGGTTTCGTTGAAGATGGTTTCGTTGGAAGAATTGTCAAATAGGCTGTGTTTAACTGATTGCGAGATCTGCTTACTTAGTACTGGTGTGCAAATTGTTTTTCGTTGGATTTTCTGTATATTTGATAATATATTTTCTTAGGTTGAGTGTGACATCTACTTCTTCCATTTCTGTTTTTAATGCCGATGTCAAATCCTATATTTTTGAAACGTTGTATGATTATTTGTATAATAGATTTTGTGTTAGAGTTTTTCAGGGTTACAAGACTAACATTCATGCCGAGACATTTTTATTGATTATTATTCTACTTATTTCATATATATATATCTTTATATTTTATATTTGCATACCTTCTTTCTCTGGCATTGAGTACTATTAAACATAAATTTAGCAAACTATATTGTTATCATATATATATATATATATATATATATACTCTTAAGGTGTGCTATATTTATGGGATAAAGTTCTCAATATCAGAGATAGAGCGTGTGTAAATATAAAAGTGAACATTGAAGTCAACACAGGCTGGTTCATGCTAGACGCAATCCTCAGGCCACGAGTGTTGTTGTTTTTTTTTCTCGGCTATTTATATATACGGAACAGTGGTGCATTGTGGGTAGTATATTTTGGCGATTATTTTGCCGGAAGTCGTTTATTTATTTGGGTTAAATTATTTTGATTGTTTTTATTTATTTTTATTTTTTTTTATCTTATATTATATATATATATATATATATATATATATATATATATATATATATATATATATATATTATTGTAATTGGTGTTTTATTAAAGTAGTAAAAATTTGTTTATATCGCTTATTTAATAGTTTTGTTTTGGTTTGGGAAGATAAAGTTATTTATTCAATTTTGGGGTTGATTGTTGTAGTTTATGCTATTATTTTGATGAGAGCAGTTTTTAATTTGTTTATTACTGCATTTATTTATTTGGATTAATTATCTTTACTTGTTTTCTCTAACGGTCAATTTATCGGGATCGGCTTGTTAGTTTGTTTAGTTATTTGGGTTAATTTAGATTAATTTATTTTACTTGTTTTTTTATTATTTATTTATTTTTATTTACTCTTTTCGTTTTTCGATTTTTAAGTAACGTAGTATTTTTTATCGTTATATAACAGTTATAGCTATGTTTTTCGTTCGATTTTTGGTTTGATCTTTATAGTTTAACTAATATTTTGGGCACAATGGTTTGTTAATTGGTTTATTATTTACTTTATTTATTTCGATTTATTAGTTCGAAAAAGTGTTTTAGCTTTGAGCTGCTGATGTTTGAAAATGCCGCGACTGGTTCAAATTGAAATTTAACACCATTGTCCATGTTGAAAAAATATATTTGAATATTACTAAGAAGATGAGAACAAAGAGAATAGGGTCCATGACGCGACCTTGCTTCGTGCTATTTGTAACAAAAGGAATTAGAGAATTCCTCATCAGATACAAGAGCAGCTTTCATCCCCACGTGAAACATTCTACATGTTGTCTGGAAAGTTCTTAAAAAGCTATCCCACTGTGCTTCAAGATTTACAGTATCAAAGGCTCAACAAACACCATCTGCAATTCGTAGATCTTTTCACGCATTTTTCGACGACCTGACGGAGTGGTGAGACGGAAAAGTACTAGGAAGGGGACAAAAGACAAACAATTATGCCCTGACACCCAAAAGAAGAGGTATTGAGCAAAATTTCATGGAAAAATTAACTCAGAGGGGTATTGTAATTGTAATTGGAATGTCCCACATATCCTATCGCCGATGTGGATTGATTATATCAGTATATATATATATATATATATATATATATATATATATATATAGTAAGCGCGGGATATACCTGGGGACTTTCTTCGGCAATTAGTTAGAGATTCCTCCAGCTGAGCTGGTCGAAATCTTTGTCTTCGGAACCCAGACGCGGTCTCGTCTGGAATGGTAGACAGCTAACCGACCCCGTGCATGCGTGGTCTACGGGGAATTTTTGCCCAAGCTTACAGGCTTGGTTTTGCCCTGCATTAAAAAACGGCCTTGTGTCATATCCACCCTCGCGGGGAGGTAAGGTAAATAACCTTACTTCGGGAATTAGTTGGAGATACGTCTCCAGCTGTGTTGGTCAAACTCTCTGCCTACGGGCAGAGAGGATCCTTAGACTAGGCAATGTCGAAGGTCAGAGTCTCGTCTCGGGAAACAGCTACCCGACACCGTTTTATTAATTTATACGGGTAATTTTTGGCCGAGCCTACGGACTCGGATACCCCACATTAAATTTGACCTTGTGCCATACCTGACGGCGTTGGGGCGGTTGGTAGATATCCTGGCTTCGGAATTACTAGCCTGCAACCCTATCCCCCGTCTTTCAGTAGTGTATTCTCTTTTACAGTAAACCACTCTTTCTTTAATCTACGCGCGTGTTGCTGTTCTTTCATTCGAGTACCACCTTTTTCTTTTTGTAACCTCTTCAGGGATACAAGACTAAGATCATCATGTCAGTAGAGGCAAGACCGGACCTTGAACCACACTGTGATTCGGGGTAAACCAATGGTGACGGGCTTGATAAACCCGTTCAAAATCAGTCTAACTAATATTTTACTAGCAAGTGGAAGTAGAACAGTCTACCCCAGTGAGTGAAATAAAGGGTTCAGTTCGACATTCCAACCACCTGAAGAAGGCCGGAGTGTACAACGGCCGAAACGTTGTGATAAATATGGCGACAAAGATGAGGACAATAGTCCGAATAATGTAAATAAGCAGCAACAAAAATTTCTGATGGCACGCAGCCGCAAATGATATCACGAAGTCCAAACCAATAACTACTACAACGCAAAGAAGATATTTAGCTGTTTTAATTTTAATATATACTAAAGTATATATATTATATATTACTATGTAAGATATATTGTAGAAAAGGTATATTGACCTTGAGTTGTATAAAAATACGTATACTGTTGGCACACTGAATGATTTTAAAACCCTAAGCCGGCACATAATTAGCAAAGGGTTGCCGCTCCCTGGTTTATACGGTCTTGTAGGCGATGACGTATTTTCCATTCGACTACTCGCACATAAAAAAAAATGAATAGAAAAGCTGGAATAAATATCTTCGAATACTAGAAGAAGATTTGAGTAAACGCAAGGAAATCAAAGAAAAAGAAAATAAAAGAAACGAGAGTCAACATCAGACACTTTATTAAATGTATAACTACGTCGTCATTCTCCATAGTAATATAAACCACCTTCCGAATGTGTACAATCAAAGAATTCAGGACTATCACTTAGAGCAGGGGTCAACAACCTACGACACTTCAAGCACATTCCAATGGCACGCAGCCGCAAATGACATCACGAAGTCCAAACCAATAACTAATACAACACAAAGAAGATATTTAGCTGTTTTAATTTTAATATATATTAAAGTATATATACTGTATATTACTATATAAAATATATTATAGAACAGGTATATTGACCTTGACTTGTATAAAAATACGTATACTGTCGGCACACAATGTATGATTTTAAAACCTTAAGTTGACACATAGTTAACAAAAGTTTGTTGAATCTTGGTTTATACGGTCGTAGGGGGTGACGTATTTTCCATTCGACAGCCTCTTTTACACAAATGCGACGTTGCAAGCCTATCACTAATTTTATGACAAAGACCAGTTCAAAGACTTATTGCTAAAACTCACTATATATTACGTCCACAGATTCGAATCAGTCTCATTACCCTCGTATTCCAATTGCGAGGAGAAAGTTCCCCTAGGAGAGTTTATTTTTCGCAAGGACTGCAACTTTGGAGAAGAGACTCCTGTGGTGATTCTTACCGGAACAGGACAACATGAACCACTTCAAGTCAAAGGTCAACCGTTGTCTATCCTCCTTATTCTTATCCTCTTCATTTTCCTACCTTTTTTTCCTATCACAAACCCCATGGTTTACGTCTACGATCACCGAAGTTAAGCAACGTCGAACCTGATCAGTACCTACATGAGTGACCGTTCAGGAATACCAAGTGCTGTAAGCCTTTATATACGGGTCATATCACTTACAACCACATCACGTTGAAACACTAGTTCCCGTACGATCACCGAAGTTAAGCAACGTCGAGCCTGATCAGTACCTACATGAGTGACCGTTCAGGAATACCAAGTGCTGTAAGCCTTTATATACGGGTCATATCACTTACAACCACATCACGTTGAAACACTAGTTCCCGTACGATCACCGAAGTTAAGCAACGTCGAGCCTGATCAGTATCTACATGAGTGACCGTTCAGGAATATCAAGTGCTGTAAGCTTTTATATACGGGTAATATCATTTACAACCACATCACGTTGAAATACTAGTTCGCGTACGATCACCGAAGTTAAGCAACGTCGAGCCTGATCAGTAACTAGATGGGTGACTGCTTGCGAATACCTGGTGCTTTAAGCCTGGATATATGGGTGGTGTAATGGATAATGACTCTGAATTGTTATTTGCATTGGGTTCTTTACATTCACTTACGTGCAAATACGGATGGGAAAGGAAACAGTCCATCTCTTATCCCCCAGCTATGGATTAATTAGTACAGAACCATTGTTATTCCCCAGAGAATATACTTACAACCTCAAAAGTTTTCTGGCTTTAAATAACCTGCAAATGGTTGATAAACCGTAGAAAACGATTCAATCAATCACACTCATCATCCTGTAACTTTCTATCTAGAGTGACTCATGAACCTTGTATTGGGTGAACTCTAAGATCACCGAAGTTAAGCCATATCGAGCCTGGTCTATACTTAGATGGGTGACCGCTTGGGAATACCTGATGCGTCTTGTTTTTCATTGCATTAATGTAGATGACGTGAGTTCTCTCCCCTTAATCCCGTTACCCATGCCGTTCTGGGTATGACAATAAACTACATCCGCGTCCTGGGTAAGACGATAAACTACGTCCAACAGCAAGGCCTCTGATCAGAAGGTTTTGAGGAGCATGGAACCACCACTTAATTGCTGGTGTTTCCAGGTCCACCCTGACCCGAGGTGGTAGCACCTGTTAGGGTCCCAGCTGTGGGCAAATAGTTAACCTCCAAACTTGTGTAAAAATAGGTTTTAATACCAGAAATACTTTGTAATAATAAAAAAAAATATTACCAGTAATAATTTTTGAAGGAAAAATTATTATCAGCTCATTCCCTAAGCCTCTACTTTGAGTGGCTATTGGGCCTTGTATTGGACGATTAGTAATATTCATCTTCTACCTGTAAAAATGACTTTTTACTGTTGGATTTTTGGAGAAAAACATTACCCGCAATAAAATTTTGTCGTCATTAAATAACCCATTGAGGTGTTGATATGCCGTAAAACAAACCAAACCAAACGAAACCTTACCCATGACTTAAGTCACGAGTCTTCTGATATTCCTCTGTAATCCTTGCTGACTGGAATCTCTATACCGTTTACCATTCCTTCCTTCGTCACTAAAGAACAATGCCTCACACAGATCTATTATTAAAATTAGGATTTAAATTCTTAAATAATTTTACCAACAAATCCCGAATGACGAAATCATAAAATCCCAAAATTTAAAATCCCGAAAGATCATAATTCCGAAATTTAAAATCCGGAAAAATCAAAATTCCGAAATTTAAAACCCTGAAAGATCGTAATCCCCCAAAAATAGTCTTTGTGAGAAATTGAAAAAAAAAATAAAAAAAAAAAAAA